CTTCTTTCGCTCCCTCATTATCTCTCTCCCTCAGCTTCGGTGGTCCTCATCAGCTCTCATTTCCCTTGACTGCTGTAGTTCTCGTACTCCGGTTCTGTCCATGGCCCGGTGAGCCTCTTCCACTCTTCCCCCCGGCCCGCCATCTGTTCTGCATCTGTCTCTTTTATCGCCTCTTCTCCCATCGGGTCCTTCCTCACCTCGTTCCCCGGCCCGCTGCTCTCCTCTTTCCCTTTAACCCCGTTCCCCTCTCTGCCCTCTCTCCCTCACACATCCTCTCCTCCTTCATTCAGACGTTTTTTTGAAGTTGTGAGGGGACTGAGCTCAGGCTATTTTTAGCGGCTTTGAAGCAGCTCCTCCCTTGCAAATAAATGCCAGTAAAACAGAGAGCTGGGAATAGAAATACCGCAGGTTTTTTTGTGTCTGGCTCTGGCCTTCCCGACTGCAGTGGCACAATCACAGTTTTTAGCTCCCAGGGTTTAGCTGAATCGCTAATGTGCAGCTTTTATTCCTTTAGCGAGTGCTTAAAATATTAAATGTTTTGAATTCAAGCAGGGATTACCATCTAGGCAAAATTATATCTGCATCACGCATTTTTAAAACGGTCATACTACTTTTAATGTTAATGATTTATTTTGTGTCAAAACATGACCATTTTCATAATAATTTTTTTTTTGCTGCTGTGCCTTTAAGAAGCACCTTTTTCTCATGTGAAATTGTGGGTTTGTTGTGTCTTTCCCATCTGTCAATAACAACCTTGTTGCAAAGCCCGCATTACAGTAGCTATGTTTACATGCATCCTAATAATCCATTAGTAATTCGATTACAACAGATAGCTCAATGTAAACCTCCGTAGGATTAAAAATGATCAGACTGAGCTTGATCTGCATTAAATTTCTTTCGGACTGAAAGTGGTGGTGCAGATCTTAATTTGTCAGAAGAATAATTGGCATGTAAATGAGATTTTACATATGCATAATTTTGAATGCGCATATTTGTGTCACAGCACTAAACTTTGCAGATGGTGTGAAAAACAGGTCTTGCGATACACATACAAATGGATATTCACCGGATTGCACATTTTAGGGTACAAACACTGCAGTTGGACTGATGAGAAATCTGTGCATGTAACCATAGTTACTGTGATCATAAAACATCTGCACTCAAATGCAATGTTTAGATCAAACTGGAATTATCAGGGTCTTATTAAAAATATACTTCATCAGCTTGTTGCTAAATGCTAACGTTGAGATATGAAATGCAGAGCGGCAAGTGCCATGCACCTAGGAATAGCACTTGATTTTGCCTGATTTTACTTTTATATAATAATTTCTTCTAGTATTAGGAATAATATTATCTAAGTGACTTTTATAACTAGCCAGGGTTTCTGATCACCCAATTTTTTACACGCCAGTTCCTTATAGGAACACACACTTGGATTGAAAAACAAGGCTTCCTCTGCTGCCCGCTAGTAATTTTTCCAGTTTTCCACTAAGTAATGTACTAAGACTGTGATATTAAATGTCACAAATAATTGAAATTATTGATAATGCGTACTATATACAGGCAAGCATGCAGCTGTGCCCAGAATATGAACACGATGCTATGAATTGTATCTTAAGTATTTTTACCATTAGAAAGAAAATGCTTAACATGCAATAGCAGGTTGGGCTCATCTGCTTGCCTTTATATCGAATGCATCATCAATAACTTGTAAACTAAATGTATTTTTTTTTCAATATCTCTGTCTTAGTGCATTAAGCCATTTGCAGCATGTGCTTTACATGGATTGCAAGTGCCCAGAACTTGCAGTTTGTTCACATACCTTTGTTTTTATTCTTTTAGAGGTTATCTAAATATTTATGGCTTAAAAAGACAGAAAATTGACAAGCCTGCTCTGCATTTCTATGGCTGTTTTGCCCACCATGTCTCTGCTATGAATAGGTATTATTGATGTGTGAATGGTCATATATTGTTGCAGTCATCTGTGTGACAAAGGTGCTGAAATAGAGAATGAGTAGTTTGTTTTTGCAGCTTATTATTTTTTTTGTATCAATGCATTTTTTTTTTACTAGGAAGTTTTGAGTTGTATATTTTCAGTGTACATTAAGTTGGTTTTTATTTCAGAAGCTCAAGGATAGTTTGATTGCTTATATTTTGCCTTTTAAAATATTGTGTTGTCTTCCTGTAGTGCCAGTGTTAATGAATATGACTGAGGCTCCTGTGATATTCCTGCATATCTGCTGGATGTTGTAAATCTATAGGATGGAGGTGAGGATGGAATAGAGTAAGAGTGAGAGAGAGGGAGATGGATAGGTGAAGCGAGCTATTGCACGTCAGAGAGAATGAGCCGAGACCCACCATGTTATCACTTTAGAGATGCTCATCAATTCAGATGTATTTCTGCTTCCGTCCTCTGCCATGCAGAAAACTAACTTTTCCCCTCTTTTCAATTGAACAGAATAAAAAAAAAATAAAAAAAAGTAATTTACACTCTAACACTGGAATCGATTTCCATCAGGGTGGGTGGATAGGATAGAGGGAGAGGAAATGGGATTTATGCTGTAAAGTCCGATTAAAAATCATAATGATAACCATGAATATCTTCAGATTTGCAGTAACACATTCATAAATACGCAATGCTTCAGAGATGATTTATAGAGGTTTAGTTGTATGAGTTTTTGCATGTTTCACTGATTGAATAGACTTCACACACACACACACACACACACACACACACACACACATACAGTGAGCCTGTGCAGCACTTGTGAAGTGAAATTGCTTAAATCAGTTAAATTAATAGTGTTTGTGGGTGGTGATGTTCCTGAGCTCTCCATGTAACCAAGCACATATATTAGTGTATGATGACTCATGATAGATTCTGGTTATGTGTGGGTGTGTGTGTGTTTGTCTGCAGATATACACATGGATATAGAGGTAAATTCAATTCAGATCCAGGGAGCTGTGGTGTGTAGTCAGAGTGGGATCCAGAGAGACAGATTGTAAAGTAGAGCATGTGGGATAATCAGTATTATTGTCTTGTTTTCCAGTAAAAACATCCTAAAAACAAGATCATTTTAACTGAATTCAAATTTTAATTTAAAATTTAATTCAAATTAACTTTGGAATTGTATTGTAGTAGCGATAGTTGTTAATTAAGAGTTAAGAAAAAGTAACTTGTCCTAAGTTAAATCTAGCTTCTAGGGTAATTGAATGTTTTTAGATATTTAAAAAAGAACAAGTACTTCCCTATTAAAAAGTAATATATTTAAAATACATTTATTTAATTATTCATTATTTTCATTATTTCATTTCAAGTATAGTTCAAATCTATGCAGGGTCAGACAGCTCTCAGATTCCATCAAAAATATCTTAATTTGTGTTTCGAAGATGAACGAAGGTCTTAGGGGGTTGAAATGATGTGAGGGTGAGTAATTAATGACAGAATTTTCATTTTTGGGTGAACTATCCCTTTAAATGAAAGATATTTAAAGTGTACCTGAAGTATACTTGCAATAGTTCCACTTTAGCACAATCAAATATACTTCAGTGTATCTTTAGTTGGACTTCAGCCCTACTTCTGCACAATTCAAGTGCATTAAGTTCAAAATTAGTTGTTCCAATTTAGCAGACTTAATAAAATACTTAATAAAAGTACCCTGCAGTTGTACTTTTGGTATACTAAACTGGTATACTGTATTGTATTTGTAGAATACTTAGTATTAAAATAAATGTATTTCAAATACATTTTAGTATATTCATTTTTCACTTATCAAAGATCCAAATTTTAAATGAATATTTAAAATTTTAAATGAATATTTAAGTCAAGGAGAGGTGGAAATATGTAAAAAAGCATCTTCTGTCAGGCCACATTGGCATCTATAAACACACAAGCAAAGTAAATGCAAACAAACACATTTAACATAAGAAGATATAGATTTTAATATCTTTATAAACGTTTTTTCTTGTTTTTTTTTGAGAACGACTCGTTAAACCATCAAATCACTAGGATGGAGAGACACAGAAGAGAGAGAAAGGGAGGGATGAGAGGAGACTGGATTGTGCAGTTTAGTCAGAAAATGGTGCCCTACGGACATACCAAATAAATGTGTAAACAAAACAAAAAAAACAACCAAAGGAAAAAAAAATCAAATCATAATAATAATAAAAATAATAATTGCGTTCTGAAGAGAGGTTCTTCAGAGATTCAGGAACCCTGTTGTAATCAAAAATGTCATTAATGATGTCAGTGTCATAGTACTGATTAATATTTCCATTGCAGATTGTGATGATACAGTTCTCCTTATTTTTACAAAGTGTGTCTTAGAACAGGAGGCATAGTTCTCCTGTACTCCACAGCATCTGTGATGGCAGACCGTCTGTTATCCGTAGTGTCCCAAGTGTTCACGTGATTGTCCCTCTCTTGGACTCCTATTTGCATTCACAGCAGACACTGTAGTGGCAATCAAGCAGGCCTATGGCTGCAAAAGGTTTTTTTTTTGGCCATGCTAAATTTGAAATGTGTTTTTTGTCATTGAGTCTCTTAAAGATACATTTAGTTTTTGTGTTTTTTTTAACTGTTTTCTTTTCTTCTTGTCTGTCTTGTTAAAACAGTTGATTTCACATCGCTCTAAGAAAGAGAGGTGTCTATGTTTTCAATGGTGGGCTCAGGCTGAAGGCGCTTTTCAAAATAGAGTTCACTTCAATTAGACCTGTGTCCCCTCCAGAGTCGGCGCCCCCATCAGCAGTCCATTTCTAAGTCCTCTGAGTCACAGCCAAACAAAACTAACAACACCGAGGACAAGAAACAAACACAACTCTAATTTTTTACACACGCGCACACACAAACTGTGTTTTTTGGAAGCAGATGAGGTAAAATGGGTCTCATTTGCTTCTATAAACAATATAGCAGCTAGTATAACCATTGGCTTTTATATGCTGTTATATAACAATACAATCCAAAATAAGAATGATTCACCTGAAGTCACTTTTTAGGGCAAAAGAAAAGAAAATATGAAAAATAAATGTAGGAAGTTATTGAAAGGGCAAAAAAAACCCATCTAAAGTGAAAATAATGTCTTATTTAGGCCTTAACTTTTCTGAGGTAAGGAGAATGTATGTGCTTATGTACTGGCTATTCAGTTTAGGAGGACTGTTTATAACACTTTTTCATTTCATACAACACTTTTAGTTTCACATCATTCTGTGTATAATATTCCATCGGAGAAGAAAGCAAGTCCTACCAATGGTTGAAACTCCTGAACATAGGAGAACTTACACTGATATATTTGTGCATCTATTTGGCAATAATGTAATATATTTAACACAGGACAATGTACTTATACAATTAGGAGCATTTGATGGTCTCCTATATGTTTGTTTCTATATGTTGAAGAAACATGTAGCAGTAGGACATGCTTTCTAAACACAATCTCCATTTATGTTGCTAACTTGTGCCTCATATTACGCATTCTTTCTACACATTTATTTGGTTATCTGTGCTTTCTTTCATTGAAATGGTTTTCCATTTAGAGGGGGATAGACCAGACCAATAAAGGACAAAAAAAAGAACAACAACAGTGGCAGTGCAAGCATGTTCAGTTTGCTTCACTATTCTTCTTGTTCCCCAACCCAAATTTTGAGTTTATTTGATGACATCCGTTGTTCAGTTTTCATCTATTTCAGTCTAAATGGCAAAGCTCCTTATACAATGTAGTACACATTATCACTCACACATACACACACAAACATACACACATTAGTAGGCCTGGTAATGCTGGAGCTAGAGCTGATCTGGGGACTGTGGCGTATCCGTGATGCCACGATGCTCCAGCATCAGAGTTCAGCGCAGAATGATCACAAGCAGTCCCAGAATATTAGAGAGAAAGAAATGTGTATGATGAGAGTGTCCCCAGTTGGTGGCTTGCTGGACCCCACTAGGGGGACGCACAGAGGTCCGGGGGGTACATTTGTGCTTTCTGCGGGTGTTTGAACCATCAGAAGATGTTTCATCATATTTCCCGGTGAAATCGGGAGAGGAGTACTCCTTATCCGCCATCTCCTTTAAGGTGTGGACCTCGTTAGGTCCCTTTCCCTTGCTGCCCCTTACACGTTGGCGTGTGCAGTTCCGAGAACGGCCAGGCCTCTGAGCAGGGACTATGCCCGGAGACCCTCCCGGTCCTGCATGTACACCATTTATGGCAGGGGGTGGCTGGGGCAGGGGAGAGGGAGGGGAAGGGTATTGTTCATTCAGTTGGGGGTGGTGTGTTTGTGGAGGCTGGGCAGGATGGGGCTCCTGCTTCAGTGAGACTTTATCCGTTCCTGCCCAAGTCTTGGTCTTACTTTGGTGCAGGGACTCCGATCCGGAACAATTTGGGAAGTCCTCTTTCTTCAGCTGCTTCAGATCTTTGCCTGCCAGCTCTGCTGGTGCCACGCAACCCACTGACGACGTGGACCCCCGAAACTTTTTGAGCCAGTCCCACAGTGATAAAGCCTTACAGTCACACTCCCAAGGGTTGTCGTTGAGGCGAAGGTACTCCAGTGCAGGCAGCTGGGACAGACACTCTCCAGCTAACTCTGTCAAGGAGTTGTTGAACAAATAGAGGGTAGTGAGCCGCCGCAGGTCGTGGAATGCCAGGCGGTCCACCCACTGAAGTTGGTTGTGGTGAAGTAGCAGCCGGTCCAAAGCACCCAGTCCTCTAAATGTATTTTGGTGCAGGCTCCACAGACGGTTCCCATGAAGAAACAGGTGGCTCAAGTTGTGCAAGTCCACAAAAATATCATCCTGCAGATACTCCAAATGGTTGTCCTTTAGACACAGAAACAAAATATTGGTTATATTTATACTAAAACAATAGTTCAAGATGACATCCAGTGCCATTTCATTTTGTTACGCAAGCAGTTATGTGAGTGTCTCACCTGCAAGTACAGATACTGGAGGTTGCGGAGACCCTGGAAGATGTTATTCGGCAGTGCACTGAGGCCACAGCGGTATAGATGGAGGGCATGGAGCCGGCCCAGCCCGTGAAAGGTTTCTGCAGACAGTGAACGTAGGTGGCGATTGTCTCCCAGGTCCAATTCCTCCAGCAAGGTGAACCCTTGGAAAGTAGTTGGTTCAACATATGTGATATTGTTGGAGTAAATCCAAAGAGTGACTGTAGTAGGGCTAAAGTGGCCCCGCAGTAGTCGATGGATCTTGTTGTTTTGGAGGAAGATGCGCTCACTGTGCGGAGGAATGCCTTCCGGGACGGACAGGAAGTTGTGGGCTTGGCAGCTGACGGTGCTGGGGGCCATGTAGCAAATGCAGTGACGTGGGCAGGACCAGGAGAGCTCCAGCCCACAGAGTACCAGCAGGAACTCCAGCCCACAGCCTAGAAAGATATTGAGAGAATGAAAGAGACAGACTTAGTGTTTGTTATTTGTATTCAAGTCATAAATTCTGTATTGTAAAGAAATTTGCTGCTTGTTCTTCTTTGAGAAAGTTTCTCCATAATTGCCCCCAGAACTATTAAAACCTGTGAAAGACAAATAAGCTCAGGTGTCTCATTAAATGTAGACACTATACTTTAAGGCTTTTTCATCCACAGTATTTTGTTTTTGTATTTAAAGGTTGTTGTAAAAATGGCCACTTAAAATGAATGATAATGCTGAATGATATTGAGTATAATATCAAGTAAGAGCAGCACATTTCTGGTTTGTTGACAAACAGTGTATTAGAGCATTAATGATGGGTCTGTAGGGATACCCAGTACAAAAAAAGGTTGGGAAATAATGTGATAGAGCTAGATCATAATGCAAGAATACATAGAAGAAAACATTTATACAGATCTTAGTAAACCTTGTAAAATGTTCTTTTGTAAGTGTTTCTTTAAATCATTAATAAATAAATCAATATAGAATCTTTCCTGAACAAATATATATGGAAGTTTGACATGTTAAGACTACTGATGTACCATGTATTATATAATTTTTCATGGATGTACCGAGCTGTTAATCACTGTTCAGTGGATACTGTCTTCAAATAGAGATCAAACATCAAGGCCGATGTCATCATCATCATTTTGACACAAGCTCATTGTCAATAGTATTTGCAAGCTGTTGCATCAATCAGTGATGATTTGCATGCCTCAAGGTAAACAATGTCATAAATACATATGCAGTATATATATAAAGGCCAAGCATGTAACATAACACACCATTTCACTGATGTGTCCTCTCACGTCTGGCACATCAAATTGTGCTTTCTTTAGATGCTCAGTGCCTTATACTCATGGTGGTAATCATATTCTGTAGAAAAGAGCAGCTTTGTATGCGTTTTGTTTGTCTCCCCAGGCGCTCTTAAAGAAATAGTTCAGCCAAAAATGAAAATTGTCATGACTTACTCACCCTCATGTTATTCCAAACCCATATAGTCTGTACAATTTTTGTCATTGAATGTGGAACATAAAAGAAGATATTTTGAGGAATGTTGAGGTCTGAACAAAACTGGGCCATACTGAGTTTCACTGTAAGAAAAAAAAGACATTTAGACATGGAGAATACCGTCTTTTGTTTTCCACAGAATAAGGGTTTAAAAGAACATGAGGGTGACTAGGCCTATATGACAGAATTTTCATTTTTCGGAAAACTATCCTATTAACTCACTTAACCACCTCGACTTCCTTCCGTCTAAACAGTCTTCTTCTGAAAGACTAAATCAAACTTTGTTGAAGCTAATTTGGTCTAGGATGGCATTTTCAGCAGCGATAGTTGTGACTTTCAATGAAATAAGGTCTGCCCTATGAAACTAAGCCCCTTTTGAAAAGGAAATAAACAATGACAAGAAAATAGAATCGCTTTAGAGGTTCTGAGCCCTTCAGGGAATCAGCAAAATCTGGTATTTTACGAGTATTTATTCTGTCCGTGTGTGTATAAGTCGGGCTCACCCTGCTTCTGCTGAGACTGATCCCAGAGCCTACCAACAACCTCTTGAGTGCTTAGTTAAACCTGTGTTAAGCCTCTGAGAGGCATACAATACCCCTGCTGCTTTCTGACATGCTTCCTTGGAGCCATTTTGTGTAACTTATCAGCCAATTCATCTACACACAGAATGGCAGGGAAGGAGAAAATTTTCCACTATTATTAGAGTCCCATTTGCTTCCCCCCCCGCCCCTCTTTTCAAAAATGCATTATTCAAAGCATCATTCCTGTCATTCACTCAAAATTGATTCGCTCCCTCTGCCTCTTAACATCACCATAATCCTCCAGGTTTCTGCCTTCAAAATACAGAGGCAGGAATTACGCTTTTACAGGAGATGAGCGGATATTTATTGGAATAGCTTTTGACACCAAATGTGTCTAAGCTGTGGCATTCAGATGCAGACTCCGCTGACCTTTAGCAATGATTCCCTGGGCGTCAGTGCCCAAGCAGCTTGCCTCACCTGCGCTTGAGCCTCGCTCCCAGAGTGGCCGTGTAATCCCATTTGTCCTAACGGCATGCCAAAATGAAATATGTCCTCACCAACAGACTAAATAAGCATCCGGAACCCTTCACAAGCTCCCCCCATGGGCCTTGCATGTACGTGTGGGATTAATAGAAAAATTGTTGTTGTTCTTGTAATGTCGGTCAGCTACCTTAAACAGTAACCTGGATCAGAAATACATATTACTCTACCGTTGCACATATGCTAATTTGTTTTTTAGCAAAAAAACTTGCCTGGATATGGTACAAAACTGTATTTTAGCAAAGATGGCAAACATATGACATTCTTTACACAAACCACCCAAAGAGGATGGCAAAGTTCTGAGGAATTTTTAAGGTTATTGCGCATGAGTGATTATATCGCCCATACACTAGCTCATCTCTAGATCAGACAACAAACTGATGATGTTTGGTTCACAAGCCTTAAACAACCTCAGTGCTGTGTGTTCAGATAAACTGCACATACAGCTATGGGTTTGAGAATTACCTAGCCGAGATGAGGGGCTCAAAAGATAGATCATAATAAACACCTCAATGTTTAAAGGATCTAAAATAATAAGATGTGTAGTCATCCAATATTACTTTAGCTGTTATTCAATCAGTACTGGATATTTTTTCATTCTTTCCCCATGTTTTTTGTTAGTATGACACCTGTCCTTTGAGTGAGTGAGCAAGAGTGTGTGTGCTGAGTTCCTCACGGGAAGTTAAGTTTCTGGGGATTTCAGCCAAATAAATCGGAAAAGGCAGGCAAACAACTCAGCTTTGACTGGCGGAGCTGCTGAGCCTTTTCCCTTTATTTTTCTTACTCGCTGGCTGTTTATGTCTGTTTGCAAACCCCTTTGCATTAAACTTTGCATATCACATAATGAAATTCTTCCTCAGCACTTTACATAATAGACTTATTTCTTTGGCATAGCATTTGTGGAGGCGTATCACCTAATCACACATACTGTGCTTCCCTCCGTTTGTCTCAGCTTTTGTCACACTGCAGGTGTAATTATTTTCCTCAAACTCCTGCTTTTCCTTCCGTTTTTCTATATAAAACTTCAACAGAACTTGGTATCACCTTGTAGATAACAGCATGAGTTGAGATAACAAATATATATATATATATATATATATATTAATCAACCTTGGATAAAGAGACAAGTTTATAGATAAAGGGGAGATAAGGGAATGAGCGTTGCGTGAAGACGCTAAGGGGAAAACTCCTGTTTTACTCTGTACTGAAGCTTGATTTGTTCACGTTTGTGTAACTGCACAAACCAATGGCGCTTTAGCCCACCAGAAAGGGTGGAGCCGACCCCTATATAAGTCGGCTTAGAGCGCCATTCATTAGATCATTCGACTGAAGCGAATCAAGCGTATCAAGAAGCGTATCAAGCTTCAGTCATCGATTCGCGTGCAGCTTATAGAGTGGCAAGTGATGCAACGCTTGTTCCCTTATCTCAGGGAACCGAGGTTACGTCAGTAACCGGAGCATTCCCTTTCGAATGGTCTCTCCCATTGCATGAAGACGCTAAGGGGAACGCATCCAATCACACCGCACTATGAGCAGATACAGGATATCCTGTTCTGCGAGCCCAGTCTCAGAGCACTAATAAGGACCCCTAAGAACATGAGCAAATTGTGCCCCAAGCTAGTAGCTGAGAAGCACTAATATAACCAGCTTTGCCCAAGGGGGAAGAGTGGTACATTAAACTGAGAGAACTCACGCCTGTAAAGCAGGGACATCGAAGTTATAGAATCTGGCAAATGTGGACGGCGATGACCAGCCGGCGGCCGCACAGATCTCACCAATAGAAATTCAGCTGGACCACGCCCAGGAGGAGGCCATCCCTCTTGTGGAATGGGCACTCACACCTATAGGGCATTGCAAGCCTTCTGAGGCGTAAGCCAAGGCTATCGCATTGACAGTCCAGCGAGAAAGTCCCTGCTTTGTGACCGGCAGTCCTTTATGGCGGCCTCCAAAGCAAACAAAAAGCTGCTCTGACTGTCTAAACAAGCTAGAGCGCTACAAGTATACTCTCAGAGCCCTTACTGGACAGAGCATGTTCGGACCCTGCTCACCATCTGCAACGGGGAGCGCCAATAGGGAGATCACCTGAGCTACCGATACCATGTCTTGGTTTTAGAATGGCTTTACAGTCATTAAGCCCAAACTCAAGGCATGAGAGCTGAACTGAGCGGCTCGAAGGGGAGCCCTCTTAGGGCCCCCAGGTCTATAGACAAGTCCCAAGACAGCACAGTCTGAGGGCGAGGAGGATTCAGCCTCCATGTACCCTTCAAGAACTTAACGATCAGGTCGTTTCTGCCGATCGATTGGTTCGCTTCGAGAGAATGGATTGCTGCGATAGCTGCCACATACACTTTTAGTGTGGAGGGGGCACGCCCCTTATCCAGCAGCTCTTGCAAAAAGGCTAGCTCATGGGACACATCACATGATATCAGATCCAAACTTGTTGCAGAACACCAGTTAAGGAAAACCGACCGTTTTAGGCTGTAAAGTCGTCTTGTAGACGGCGCTCTTGCCTCCATAATGGTATTGCTTACTCTCGCTGGGAGCTGATTAAGCTCTTGCCGAGGCACCATACATGAAGGCTCCACAGCTCCGTCCGGGGATGCCAAATCATGCCTTTCGCCTGCGAGAGAAGGTTCCTCTCGCAGGCAATCCGACGTTTGGCTCCTGGGCCAGTCCTGGGTCAGAGCATCTCGCTGTATCGAGAAGTATGTTGGGCAGTGAGAGTTGTCTTCTGAGGCAAAGAGGTTGACCTCTGCCCTCCCGAAGACTGACCAGATCTCTTGAACCGTTTGAGGGTGTAGCACCCATTCGCCCGGGGCTACCTTGCCTCTGGACAGCATGTCTGCAACAAGGTTTAATCTGCCCGGCACATGAACCACCCTTAACAAGAGGAGTTCTTTCTGTGCCCAAAAAAGGAGGCGACGAGCCATCCTGTAAAGAGTGTGTGACCTGAGACCGCCTTGGTGATTTATGTAAGCCACCAACATCATGCTGTCCGACCCGACCAAGACGTGGTGCCCTTTTAAAGCTGGAAGGAAGGTTTTCAGGGTAAGAAAACCACCAACATCTCTAGGCAGTTGATATGCAGGCGTTGCTCAGGGGCTGACCAGGAGCCAAACGCCGGATTGCCCTCCAACAAGGCACCCCAACCCGAGTTGGATGTATCCGTTGTGACTACCTTCCTTCTGGAGGTCAGGCCTAATCTCGTTCCTGTTTGGAACAGGCGAGCGGTCATCCAGGGGGCCACAGCCTTGATACAGCTGTGGTCTACCCTAACAGGAAGCCCGCTTTGAGCCAAAACTGAAGGGGCCGCATGTGAAGCAGGCCCAGAGGAATTACGGAGGCGGCGGCCGCCATAAGGCAGAGCAACCTCTGAAAAACCTTCAGTAGGCATGTTGTCCCCGGTTTGAGAGACACCGCCAATGGCTGAATAGTCAGGGATCGTTCCGGTGTAATCCATGCTTTGTTCCCAGAAAGACAGTTCGCTGTCTGGGCAACAGCTGACTCTTGTGCGGGTTGATGATCAACCCGAGGCGCTCTAAGTGGCTGAGTAACAGCTCTCTGTGAGCAGCCAACTCCCGTTCTGACCTGACTAGAACCAGCCAATCGTCGAGGTAGTTTAAAATACGGATTTCCATCCATCTCAGAGGGGAAAGATCCGCATCTATGCACTTTGTGAAAGTGCGCGGGGCTAGAGACAGTCCAAACGGAAGGACTGTATATTGATAGGCCACTCCCTCGAACACAAATCTCAAAAACGGTCTGTGATGGGGGGCTATGTGAATGTGAAAGTATGCATCTTTCAGATCCACTGTCAAAAACCTGTCTTCAGGGCAAATGTGTGTAAGGATCTGTTTGATAGTTAACATCTTGAACGACCCCCTGACCCCGCCTGGCCGGCCGCTGCATAAACCCTGTTGGCGAGCACCGAGGTGGTCCTGCAGGGCTTAGAGGGATACGCTGCGTGGGCCTTCAATCCGAGAGCAGATGGCGGGCACAGATGAGCAGCAACTGCTTCCTCCAGAGGGGGGAGCTTGCTGTATCCCTTGTCGTCAGTGCCATCAACAGTGGTGAGAGCCACTGCTGTAGAGGGATTTACTCGGGCCGAGTAGGGGGTGCGCCACATCTTGGTGAGCTCGTCATAAACTGCAGGCAAGAACGGGGCGGGGCATTGGCGAGAGGACTGTTGACGGCTTCCCAGCAGTTACCATTCGTCTAACAGGCCATGGGCGGGCTCTTCCGGAGCCACCACTCGAGGCCCAGATCCTCTACCGCCTTCGACAGGACGCGGATGAGTTCTGCGTCCAGTTTCGGCCTCAGAGTTTGAGAAAGGGGAAGGACTTCGGGCTCTCCGCCGGAACCTCCCCACTCTTCTGCATCAGACACTGCCAAAGACATGGAGTCGTCGGCAATAACGTCCACGATGATGACGTCCTCTTCAGATGCGCCGAAAGAGACCAAGCCATTTACAGCTGAAGAGGGGCGCTGGTCTTCTTGTGTCAAACACACCGGCGAGACGAGAGGAAGCGGGGAGGGCGGGGCATGCGGGCACTGAGCCAACGTGACACCACTCGCTGAGAAGGACCCGCTGCTCCGCTAGAAACGTTAGAGCTGAGCGAGGGGGACCACCTTCATGAAAAAAGGTGATCTGCAAGCGAAGACGGGAATGACTCGTGCTCTCGCAATGGCAGCATGAGCCTTCAGTGAGCGCAGCCTCTGCGTGGGAGCTGCCGAGACAGGCAACGCACTCACTGTGACCGTTTGTCTCATGCAAGGGTTCCATTACATTTGTAACAACACGCGCTGAAATTTGCTCTTTAGGAAATTTGCTCTCTGGCTTGCTCTTCACGCGCCGGATGGCCGCAGGGAATCCTCGCTGCTTGGGCATCTTCGACGGCAGCGAGCAGAGCTGGAGCTTCTTCTTCCTCGGCTTCTTCTCTGCTTCTTCCAGAGTCAGCGGGAATGACTCGTGCTCTCGCAATGGCAGCATGAGCCTTCAGTGAGCGCAGCCTCTGCGTGGGAGCTGCCGAGACAGGCAACGCACTCACTGTGACCGTTTGTCTCATGCAAGGGTTCCTTGCATGACCCACACTCGCGGCGCGACATTTGTAACAACACGCGCTGAAATTTGCTCTTTAGGAAATTTGCTCTCTGGCTTGCTCTTCACGCGCCGGATGGCCGCAGGGAATCCTCGCTGCTTGGGCATCTTCGACGGCAGCGAGCAGAGCTGGAGCTTCTTCTTCCTCGGCTTCTTCTCTGCTTCTTCCAGAGTCAGCGAAGAGATGATCCTTGGCGCTTCAGTCGAATGATCTGATTAATGGCGCTCTGAGCCGACTTACATAGGGGTCAGCTCCGCCCTTTCTGGCAGGCTAAAGCGCCATTGGTTTGTGCGGCTACACAAACATGAACAAATCAGGCTTCAGTACAGACTAAAACAGGAGTTTTCCCCTTAGCGTCTTCACGCGACGGGAGAGACGTTCGAAAGGGAACTATATTTTACATTTTCGGAAGAAAATATGAGTACATGCCAAAGTTCCCATTTAAAACATGTGACCATAATGAAATGGTGTTGTGAGTGGCTGCCAGGATGGTTTCTGGAATGTTCTAAATGTATTTAGTGTGTTACAGCTAACATTTCATAGTGGGGCCAGTTACACTACCTGAATTGGCAGTCTGTAAATTCTAGGGTGTTCTTGTTACTTTGTAGTATCTAGGGTGTTCTGAGTGTTTTAGTGTGTTGCACGCAGTTGCTAAGGTGTTGTTTTAGCATTCTAGTCTGTAGATGCTAGGCTGTTCTGAGTGTTTTTAGCCTGTTAGTTTGTAGTTCCTGGGGTGTTCTGAGTGTTATAGTGTGTTGCATGCAGTTGCTAGGCTGTTCTGGGTGTTTTAGCATGCTAGTCTGTAGATGCTAGGATGGTTTGAGTGATTTTCAGCATATTTATTTGTAGTTGCTAGGCTTTCTGAGTGTGCTTTGTCTTAGTGTGCTAGTATGCAATTGCTATGGTGTTCTGAGTGGTTTTTAGTTTATTACTTTGTAGTTGCTGGGTTTGGTGTGCTGGTATGCAGTTGCTAGGGTGTTCTGAGTGTTTTAGCATGCTAGTCTGTAGATGCTAGGCTGTTCTGAGTGGTTTTTAGCACATTTGTTTGTAGTTTCTAAGGTGTTCTGAGTGTTTAGTGTGTTTCATGCAGTTGCTAGGCTGTTCTGGGTGTTTTAGCATGCTAGTCTGTAGATGCTACCCTGATAGCACACTTACATCAGGGAGACACCTATTTGACATCTGCAAGACATATTTTTTATAGTGTTTGCTCATCTGCAATACATCTATAGGACGTTTCCTATTAGATGTCAAATAGACATTTATTAGATTTCTTTAAGATGTTTAGTATATTCGTCTCCATATCACACCAGTGCTGAGATGCCAGGCATGCATTAGCTCAGTGTTATTTTGGTGAGTTTTTTTCTTCTTTTCTCCACCTTGCAGTACTAAACTAACTCCAGAGAGATCTGCTGCCTCACACCTGTCACCTCCCTGATCCTGGTCCTCTGTGAGCCCTCTTGGATCCCTTACACACAGCAATTTACACCCTCCTCATCCAGAGACAAGTTGAGAGAGAGAATAGGAGAGGCAGGATATTTTTAGTGCTGTGGAGAATGGCAAAGGGCAATAGCAGGATGAGATGTAATAATGAGAAGGAGGGATGGCACAGGGGCTGAAAGGTTGTCATTTACTGAACACAGAGGATGTGGATGAGTATTGTCATATTTTTTTTGCTCGCAATGAGCCTGTGTCACCGAATCAAATTAATAAGATTCATCTATAGGACGTTTCCTATTAGATGTCAAATAGACAT